GGAGCTGACGTCACACGTTTAATGCTTACCCTGCTATGTTTTGGTCTTGCCTTCCTTACACCCTCTCCTTTCTGTTCCCTGACTCTTCCTTCTTTTTTTTTTATATTTATTTATTTATTTATTATGTATACAATATTCTTTCTGCCAGAAGAGGGCACCAGACCTCATTACAGATGGTTGTGAGTCACCATGTGGTTGCTGGGAATTGAACTCAAGACCTTTGGAAGAGCAGGCAATGCTCTTAACCTCTGAGCCATCTCTCCAGCCCCCTGACTCTTCCTTCTTGAAGCAGGAATGTTTACTTTGTGTCATTGTGCATTGTAAGTATGTAACTGGCCATTTAAATGTATAGAGGCTTTCCACTCTGTTTGTCTTGAGTCTTAGAAGAAACATTGGGTTTGAACTTTTAAGCCCTGCTAGAACCATTCAGACTTGGGGGAATAGTGGGGATGGACTAAATGTATATTGCTATCAAAAGTTTACTGTGAATCTTTGTGGCCCAGGCAGAATGCATGGTTTAGAAATAAAATACTCCCCATGGACTCATGTGTGAAAACTCGGTCCCCAGCTGACAACATAATTTGGTACCTGATGAAAACTCCAGAAGGTGAAGCATATAGATGTACCTAGAAGTATTCTCCGTTCCACTGGTCCCCCCTGGACTGTTTTCTTTTCTGCCTACCTGTTTCCAGAACTGCTTATGAAACAACCACTTTGAGGCTTAAGATTAATTATATACTCTTTGACCTATTAGCTCAGGCTTATTAACTAACTCTTACATATTAAATATATAACCCATTTCTATTATTTTACATTTTACCACAAGGGTCGTGGTTTGTTACCTCACCTCTTGCTTCCTTAGTGATTGCTGGTATCTATCTGACTTTGCATTCAGTGTAGTTTTCCTGCCTACCTATATTCTGCCCTAGCATAGGCCAAAGTAGCTTCATTATTAACCACTGGTAATAAAACATATCACAGCATACAGGGGAGAAACCCATATCATATAGGCTAAAGGATATATTAGCCAGAGTTCTAGATAGATGGATAGATAGATAGATAGATAGATAGATAGATAGATAGATAGATAGATAGATAAATAGAGGTAAGTAGGTAGGTAGGAAGGTAGGTAGGTAGGTAGGTAGGTAGGTGGGAGTATTAGAGTAACTTACAGGCTGTGGTCCTACTAGTCTAACAATGGCTGTCTACCAAGTAAATGTCCAAGAATCCAGTAGTTTAGTTCCCAAGGCTGGATGTCTCAGCTGGTCTTCCGTATACACCAGAATCCCAGGGAAGAAATAGACTTGCCAGTAAGAGCAAGCAGGCAAAGAAAGCAAGCTTTCTTCTTCCAAGTCCTTTGTACAGGCGACCAATAAAAGGTATGGCCCAGATTAAAACTATATATCTTCCCACCTCAAAACATCAGTATTAAAATTGGGTCTTCCCATTTCAAATTATTTAACTAAGAAGAAAGAATCCCTCACAGGTGTGCCCAGACACTTGAATTTTAGTTGATACCAGATATAATCAGGTGGACTACCAAGAATAGGCAGCACAGAGGAAGTAATCACATGCCCTGGAAAAATATACCTTATTATTGTCCCTTCCTCCTGTCCCTTTCTGCTTGCTGTCCATCATGAAGTGAGCAGTCCCTCCCTTCTCAAGCTCCCCCGTGAGAGTGTGTAGCTTCCTTTGGATCCACAGCACTAGGTCTGCTGATGCCAGACTGATACTGCTGAAGTCAGGGACCAAAGTGGACCCTCTTCCATTAAGTTATTTTTCTCAGGGATGAAAAACTGACCATATGTATTTGAATTTCTAATAAACAACAAATGCTTTTCTTCCTGTGAGTATGGCCCAGGCACCTCTTTTATCTGATAACTCTCATTAGGTTATTACATATTCAATATATAGATATCTGGGTTGCAACTAAAATGTGTGAACACATGTATAGGTTATAGACCAGTAACAGAAAGACAAACCACTTAACCCAACAGGAAAATATGCAGGAAAAGAAAAGGCAAGAGCAATAAATTATAATATATATAATATATTATTTATTTATAATATAATAAATTATATATAATATTAATATTATATATTATTATATATTATGATATTTATAATATATAAACATGTTATATGTTTAACTATGTGCAATCAAGGAGACGCAACTACTAAAACACTACTGAAACTTTCAGTTGGAAAAAACTTCATTCTGTTAATATCAGGAGGTGTCAGAGAGAACAAATAGCCACAAGGTCCTTCTTGCCTGGAATAGAAATTGCAAAAGCGCTTTGCAAAGCCAAAGAGATCAAGCCAACCCAACGGCAACCCTCAGATCTATGCCAAGGGACTCATATGCAGCATTGACTATCGTGGAATCATTTACAACCAGATTAAATTGAGGTGGGGCAACTAAAGCAGAATAAATAAGTAAATAAATTTCAGAAATGTTTTTATCATAGACTGTTACAGGCAAGACCAAAATAAATGAAGTAGAGCTACCCATGGTCAAGACAAATCTTTAACATAAATCGAGTGCTAAAGCATCAAGTTGCAGGGCTGTGATTTGATATATGCACACTGTGCTAAGCACACAGAAAGCAAGATATTACTTGCCGGTGCCTATAAACAATAAAATAAAAGATGTCTAGATGTAAAACACTAAATTAAAGGTAACTCCAAAAGATATAAAGAGAATAGCATTGAGGCAATATGGGGGGAGGGCGCGTCATTGCTCTTGTCTCCCTATAAAGGAAAATGACGAAGAGAAGAAAGAAGGAACGAAATGGGCAAAGATTTTGAAACTGTAAGATCTGACAAGGTTGCATGATGCATATTATTAAAATAAATCAAAATGGTTACAAAACAGACAAAGGGAAGGGGGGAGACGTGGAGAGATAGAGAGAGACGCATGGGACGAATCTTTCCTAACTTAGCCTTAAAAATTTGCTGACAAGGCAGCCACACAGACACAGTGTCTGGAAATGAATATGCCCGGAGGAACACTTTTCAGGAACCTTCCAAGGTTTGAGAAATACGGGAGTGACCAGTCTTTCCTCCTATCCAGAACATTCCAATGAGCTGACAAAATTCAGTACCAGCCTGAGACACATCAGCTTCCAAGGGCTGAACCTGGGAGCAGCTCAATGGCTTTCCTCTCAGAACACGCTTTCAGTTTTGACAAGCCTTGGTTTCTTGGTTTGTGGCTCTGTTTTATACATAAGTAAAACTGGGTTTGCTCTCTTTGGCCCCATGATTTCTTAGTTTAGTCAGCTTTCAGTGTGTCAGGATGCTGTCCAAAGGTGACAACCCTCCAACAATAAATACTCTAAGGAGAGGATAATGTCGTGTTACACAGTGAGTACATTTATCTATATCCATGAGGAAATATATGTGGAATATGGAATGGCCAGCAAAGGGTTAAAGCAGCCTCACAGGAAGATACAGGATCACTGCAGTCAGTAGGTAAGATATTGAGAAACCTGTTAAAGAGAGCCAGAGAGATGACTCAGTGGTTAAGAGCACTGTCTGCTCCTCCAGAGGACCCAGGTTTGGTTCCCAAAGCCCACACAGTGGCTTGTAAACATCTACAACTCCAGTTCTAAGTGATCCAATGCCCTCCTCTGGTTTTCTTGGGTACGAGGTTGCACCTACTGCATAGATACCATGCAGAAAAACATTTGCACACATAAATAAAAATATAAAAGACAGTCATCAAGGGGGATGATGGTTCAGAAGTTAGAAGCACTGATTGTTCTTTCAGAGGTCCTGAGTTCAATTCCCAGCAACCACATGGTGACTTAACCATCTGGAATAAGATCTGGCACTGTTTCCTGGCCTGCAGGGATACATGCAGACAGAACATTGTATACATAATTAATTTTTTTAAAAAAAAAAAAGGAACCCATCAAAGTGTTGCTGGAGACACAAAACTGCAGGTCTCCCAGGTGAGCTGGCCTGGGGGTGCACGATGTTGATTGAGTCAGCTGCAGAGACAGAAAAATGGAGGAAAGTCCCCAAACATGGTCAGAATAGGTAGATAGATGGACAGACAGCAGTTCAAGTACGTTGTCTCAAGCGGTGAGGATGGAGCTGAGCCCCAGCCTCAGATACAATCAGGAATTTTCTGATTGTGGGTTTCCTGAGACACACCTTGGGCTGTCGGATAACAAGTGAATGGGGACATCACCATGCAACATCAGATACCCTCCCCTCCACATCCTGATGTCACCATCACCATGCAACATCAGATCCCCTCCCTCCACATCCCGATGTCACCATCACCAGGCAACATCAGATACCCTCCCCTCCACATCCTGATGTCACCATCACCATGCAACATCAGATTCCCTCCCTTCCACATCCTAATGTCACCATCACCATGCAACGTCAGATACCCTCCCCTCCACATCCTGATGTCACCATCACCAGGCAACATCAGATCCCCTCCACTCCCCATCCTGATGTCACCATCACCACACAACATCAGATCCCCTCCCCTCCCCATCCCGATGTCACCATCACCAGGCAACGTCAGATACCCTTCCTTCCACATCCTGATGTCACCATCACCAGGCAACGTCAGATCCCCTCCCCTCCACATCCTGATGTCACCATCACCAGTCAACGTCAGATACCCTTCCTTCCACATCCCGATGCCATCATCTTTTCTCAGTATCGCAAAGCTAGTGACCAAGTCCTTAGCACAAAGACCAAGCTACCACAGTAACAATGACAACCCACCATTCCCATGGCATGTGGCCCCACGACTGTCGTACTTCAGCTGTCCTGTAACTACTCTGGTTGCGTCTAACATATGCACAAAGCACACGTTGCCTATGAAAACATATGCTACAGTGCTTACGGACAATATAAAAATCTGCGGTGGTACAATCAGCAATGTGACCATTTTAAATGTTTGATAAAAATCCTTGGTACTTCAGGCTCTTGTGTCATCCTTGTCTGAAAGCATGAACAATGTTCTTCATCTGCAGAAAAAACATCGTCGACCCAGAAGACCCCCGATGTGCCCGGTTAACGCTCACTGGCCGGATGATCACAGTGCCACCAGGAGAGTTAGAATTCGCCAAGCAGGCCATGTTTTCAAGGTATGAAGGTGCTTTAAAACTGGTCTCCCTGAAGCCAAGTATGGTGGTGCAATCAGAAAGATTCAGAAATTTAAGCCAGTCCACACTGCATAGTGAGTGAATTAAAGGCTAGCCTAAGCTACAAAGTGGGACTTTATCATAAAAAAAAAAAAAATACAGCAAAAAAAAAACCTGTTTGTCCCAATATAGACAAGAATAAGTGGATGTCAGAGATGGTGAAGGAATGGTGTTTACTGGCCTGCTCTTCCTGGCTTGCTCAGTTGGCTTTTATACTCCCCAGGACCATCCTGCATAGGGATGGCACCACCCACAAAGGGCTGGGTTTTGCTGCATCAATCATTAATTAAGAAATTGCCCATAGGCCAATCTGATGGAGGCATTTTTCTCCATATAAGTTTCCTCTTCCCAGATGACCCTGGCTTTTTTCAAACTAGCGATAAAACCAACCACCACGTGTGCCTTGCCATGAAAACAACTGAGCCTTCCTAGCCCTACCAGTGCCACAGACATGCTCGGACATCTCTATCAAGACCATGGTGACATTTGTTTTGTTGCAGGTGTCCTTCTCGTTTGTTATTGGTTCTTGAATTATGTTTATAACATCTTTAGATGTGAAAAAAATTATTTTTATAAAATTGGAAGGAAAAAAAAAACAGACCAACTATAGCCCCTGCCTCCAAAGATATTCCCATGCATTTGGAAGGTAGCTGTCAGTATAGCAATGGGAGGACAGAGCTCCCTGTCCACGCTGCCTGGCTCTCAGCTTCCTGCAGGACTGGAAATCTCTCCAGGAGGAGATACATTCATGGGCTCACCATTCTGTTACTTTTCATACAGAAACACACAAGGTCTTTCTTGATGCTTCCCACTGGCAGTCATCAGCAATCACTAAGCACTAGGACCAAATGCTAGGGAGCTGTGCACGTCCTTCTTACTCCCCATACAGCCCTGTGATGAGCATCATCACCTTCACCCACACGACAGGTGAGGAGATAGCCATAGACGCAGCACCAGCATCTGAACTCATCCGCTATGGAACTGGGATTCACACCCCAGAGCCTGGCTCCAGAGCAGAGCTCTTAGCCACTCTGAATAGAGACCATAGCTTCCTGCCTTGCTAAGGCTCCCCCAGACCCTGCTCCCCAACCTATCAGTGTCTACATTTCGGGGGGTGTTGAGTCCAAATCAGGCCTAGAGGTGGGAGATCCCTGGGACTGGCTGAGATGCACTGTTTCGCTACGTTCTTCTCCCTCTGCTTCTGCAGGCATCCAGGGATGAGAAAGTGGCCCCGCCAGTATGAATGGTTCTTCATGAAGATGTGGGTAGAACACATCTGGCTTCAGAAGTGGTATGGGGGTGTAGCCGACATCCCAAGGGAGGAGTACTTCAAAGCAGCTCCCAGGAAGGCCTGACGGTAACACAAAAGTCCTGGGCTTTGCATTAAAGTGAAGACCTTTGAAGTGAAGAAGCCAGACAGTCACTGACTGCTGTCTCTTTGTTGAAGGCCTAGCTGCCCTGTCATCCTGCAGCAGAATGGGAAAGGGTGAACAGGGAACCTTGGGCTAGACTTCAGATTCACTGGAGTGGTCCTTTGTGGGTCCACCGTTCGTACGGGCACTTCACATAGAAAGATTTTGTTTATCCTGCACTCAATCCAGACACACCCATTTGGAAATCATGGCTGTCCAAAGGGAAGTAGTGGTTGCTGTTCCTTTCTTTCAAAAAAAAAAAGCAATGATCGTATGTACCACGTGATTGCCTTATATCATGAGAACATCGTGTTACTTACTATCCGAAAGCGATGCTTTGAATGGAAGCTCATTGCATTCAAAGAGCTGAATGCGCACCACATTGAGTTGCTGTGGGTTCAGGGCAAGGTGGAAGGTTTTCTGTCTGAAGGTCACTCACTAGATGTCACAGAATTGCCAATGCATTTTCTAGAACATATTGGTCACTTGGCGAGCCTTCCCTCCCCCCCCCTTGTAGTGTAGCAGGTGGAGGAAGAAGGTGCAGCTTTGCACGCACCCTGTTCTGGATGAGCAGACCATTAGCGAGAATGGGGTAACCTTGGCATAGTGTTTCCCAGCTCTCCACTGTTACTATTTCCGGTAGAAAGTGCCCCTCTACCCTTCATGATATGTGACATCCAAAATAAGAAGCGCCTCCTTCCACGTGATGTAGTGAAGACAGGGGAGAGAGTCAATCAAGAAAGCAAAGGCCATGTGCAAGAGAAGGACCCCTCCTGGGGGTCTACTCACTGCCCAATCCTGGGCCAGACCCTCAACAGAAGTTGCCTCACCCAGGAGGATGTGTGTCCTTAGTGTTCCTTTCAGACAGGGAGGCTGAGGCTCAGAGAGGTCCAATTGGTATCCCCAGCGCAGATTCCTGAATTCACTGCACATAAAGGATGGGATGCTACCTCCACGTTTTCCCGTTTTAAAATGAAGGAGTTACTGACGCGCTCAGGTAGTCATCCAGCTGGGATCGTGATAATAAAGGAGAATGACGACCTTGCTTGGAGGTCGCTTGTCATTGCTGCAGGTGTCAGGAGTGCAGAGGTAGGGAGCACACTTTGAAGTTTTTCAACAAATCATTTACAAGATTTTTTTTTACAACAAATCAAATTACATTACTGGCATTTAGAAGATGCTAGACTGAAATTGTGTGTTTACCTGAGGCCTGATTGAACCGAAGCATGCACCACCAAGGCCTGAAAGGATCTAACAGTATTCATGCTTTCTATCTTTCCATAAAGGCTAGAAACTCTCTTTAGTGGATCAGGTACGTTATATAACTTAAAATTACATCACTAATGTAGAAAATATACACATTATTAAAACAAAGCAATTTTGTTTAACAAAATAAGACACAAACAGAGTTTCTGTTGCCAAAATATTTTGAAGTACTCCTTACTAGAAACCTAATAAACTGCACAATTTTTTTATTTGACTCAATCCAGCTCATAAGAGTTCCCAACAATCATTATTTTTAATATGTAGTCATAGGGTAGCTTTGCTAAAGATATTTTATATTTCAAGTTTAAAAGTATTGCTACTCCCAATTTAGAATAAGATGGGGAAGGGTGCTGGAAGAGCAAGCATGTGTTAAAGGTATTCCATAAATCAATCTCAAATAACAATCCCTGAAGTATCACTGCTTCCCAGGCTGAATTACTGATATTTGTTTGTTAGCCTGTATGATCAGGTTCCTTTTATGGATGGTGCTTCAAAGCTCTGAAGAGCAGGTTCCGCTTAGAAACACCATAAATCAAAACTACGAGAAATGACATCTGAATATACCAGACAGCAAGAACAATATTGAAAGCTCATGGGCTCGAAACAAAATTTACACTGAATTGAAATGTGTAGGGCTGAATTAGAAGTTTTAGAAATAGCAATAAGGCGAGAAAAATTGAATGCATACAAAGTGGAAAGAAAGAAAAAACACATTCTTATTTTCAATGACATGATTATCTACACAGAAAATTGCAAATAATCCACTTTTTAAAAGTCAATAAGCCAGGGTTGGAAGATGGCTCAGAGGTTAAGAGTACTGGCTGCTCTTTCAGAGGTCCTGAGTTCAATTCCCAGTGACCACATGGTGGTTCACAACCTTCTATAAAGAAATCTGATGTCCTCCTTTGGTGTGCAGGCAGAACATTGTATACAGAATAAATAAATAAAATTTTTGAAAAAATAAAATCAACAAGCCTGAAGGACACAGGAAGGTCTTAGGATCCGTGACCAGCACACAAAATTCAATCCAATTTCCACGTATTAAAAAACAGACAAAATTAAAAGCGTAGACAGTCCCTCCAAAGAAAGTTAAATATTTGGGGTATAAAGTTAACAAATTGTGTGTGGAAGCTATATGATAAAAAAATATTTTTAGTGCTAACAAAAGTAATCAAAGACTTAAACGAGTAAGATGTTCACGGATTAAAAGACACAAAACAGAGTTGAGATCAATTCTTCTTAACTGGGCTCTGGGTTGGGTTCATTTCTATGAAAGCCCCAGCAAAATTTTAGTAAACATATGTAAGCTTACTATAAAAGTTGTACTGCAGAATAGGAGTATAACTCAGCGGCATAGCATTTGCCTAGCATGCTCAAAGCCCTGTTCAATCCCAAGCACCATACACGCACACAGACAGTTACATGTTCCAAGGTGTGTAGTCTTTGAAATAGTGTTTAAAATTCTTTTAAAAAGAGGACAAGTAGGAGAAATCTGTCGAACCAATGGGAAGATCTATTGTATATCAATACTATTCAAGACAGTTTGCTTTTAATAGCATCATGGACACAAAGATCCATGGGACAGAACAGAGAATCTAGAAATGTGATGCATTGAATTTTTGTTTGTTTGTTTGTTTGTTTTAGACAGGGTTTCTCTGTAGCTTTGGAGACTGTCTTGGAACTAGCCCTTGTAGACCAGGCTGGACTCGAACTCACAAAGATTCACCTGCCTCTGCCTCCCGAGTGCTGGGATTAAAGGCTTGTGCCATGACTGTCTGGCCAAATTATTTTTTTTACAAAGTTACAGAGGTTTAACATGTGAGGACAGCCTTTAACAATTGTGATAGGGCATGTGGACGCCCATAGTGAGCCCTGGGCTAACTTACATAAAAACTATGTCAGCGGAGCTCATGTGTGTAAGCACATGAATGTGAAACTACCATGCAATAGAAAGAACTAGAAAACTTCAGGAACAAGGGCTTGGCAGAGTGCTTTTGCACTTGATAACAGTAGTGCACTCCATCACAGGAAATTTTGATGAGTTAGACCTATTAAAATGCAAAAGTTTAGTTATACAAAGGACTCTGTTAAGAGAATGAAGAGACAGATGATGGTGGAAGAATGTCTACAGACCACACATCTAGCAAAATCCTAGTGTTGAGAGAATATGCTAATGTCTGCAGGCTACACATCTGGCCAAGGGCTAGCATTGAGAATATATACAAATGTCAAGAAGGGTGTAAAGGAGACAGATGGTGACATATGCTGTGCTGGGACCATCAGACAGAGCAGGGGCTGGAAAGCCACTTGACTGCTTCCTAAAGCAGTTACCAACCAGAAACTGGACATTGATCCCACGGAAATGAAAACAAAGACTTATGTAATAGAGGGCCAGGAGGATGGTTCAGCGAGGCTCTTACCAGGCAACTCCGCTGACCAGAATTCAATTCCTGAAACCCACCTAAAACAGTAAAAAGAGAGAACTGGCTTCACAAGGTTGGTCTCTGGCCTCCTCATGCACACTGCTGCATAATACACACACACACACACACATACACACACAAAAAAAAATAACAAAAACACTTCCACATGAATTATCCAACATTAGAAAACTGGAATCAGCTGGGCATGGCGGTACACATCTTTAATACCAGCACTCGGGAGGTAGAGACAGGCAGATCTTGGTGAGATCAAGGCCAGTTTGGTCTACATAGCAAGTTTCAGGACAGCCAGGGCTACATAGAAAGACCTCAAATCTCTCTCTCTCTCTCTCTCTCTCTCTCTCTCTCTCTCTCTCTCTCTC